TGTAATTGTTTTTTAGTAGGCCTCTTGTTTTCTTTCACTCGGTGAAATCTCAGCCTTCCTGTCACAAAGAATCTGTCAACCTTGTTCATTTTGATTCGGTGGGTGAACACCTTGGGTTGTCTTTTGAGGCATTTGTCCTCTGTGCTGAATCTGCATTGGTGCATTTTTGTAAGAGGACAGTCTAAGACTTGAATCATGTTGTATGGAGCTGTTCTGTCTTTTGGGCTTGTTTGTTAGTTATTCAATTGGTTGGGCAAGGAACAAAGTTCGCAGCTCTATGGTAGAGGAAGTTCTTCATAATTTTCCCTTTTGTGATAGGGGCCATATTTTATGGTAGGTTTGTGGGCAAAAGGAATTATAGAATTTTAAAGAACTTTTAAGAATTTTGATAGATCGTGAATGTCAAATGTGTTACTCTTGTTTGGAATTTGGCAACAACTTAAATATGTATTTTACATTTTTTTAATGATTTTTTAATTATTATTATTTAAAATGATGCTTACGCCTCATATTGCTTCAAGGCCTCACCTCATTTTGAGAAAATGCCTCAAGGTTCTCTTAAGCCTTTTAATTTAAAACATTGATTTTAGCCCACAACAAGGGCATTTTTTTTTTACTTTTTAAGTTATAGTTTACCAGATAGATAGCCCCTGACCGGTACTTGTCTGAAGTTGGGAGACATAACCCGTGCAATCTTATGTTTTCACTTTTTAAAATTTAGAATCTAAAATGGTTGAAACTTGAAACATATTAATTTTACTTTCAAAGTTTCTACTTCTTAAATAAAAATATATAAACTATTTTAAATATGATCCCACAAATACAGAAATTTACTAGATCAATTTTATTTCATATATTTGCAAACAGTACACATGATGATTTTTTGTTGTTTTTCCCCCCAATTAGCATGGTTTTGTATTAGGCGTCCTTAAGGCTGTTGAAAGTCTGTTAATGTAACGAATGTCACCTGTATATATGGAAATTCTTGTTTACGAGATGATATTTCATGACAGGTACCAAATGCAAGCATCACTGATGCAATCAGGAGTTGGCCACTGATTTTAGGAAGCTCCGCTAGTAAATTGGAATTGATGGTGGACAGCTTTGATGAGCTTGGTGTTCGAAGCAAGAAGTTGGGTCAGGTGATTGCCACAAGTCCTCAGTTATTACTCCAGAGACCTCAAGAATTTCTTCAGGTTGGTAACTTCTATTCTTTACGAGTCGTTGTTTCCTGTATTGCAATCAGAGATGATAGATTCATGAATACTTCTATGCTAGTGGCTTTTATAATTTTTCTTTATTTTTAATTGCTTTCGAGCTTCTGAAATTTATAAATATAATTTGCAAATACAGGTCGTTTCATACTTGGAAGAGATAGGGTTCGATAAAGAAAGTGTTGGCAGGATACTTGCTCGTTGTCCAGAGATATTTGCAACTAGTGTTGAGAAAACACTAAGGAGGAAGCTTGAATTTCTAATCAGTATTGGTGTTTCCAAGACTCATCTACCTCGGGCAATTAGAAAATATCCCGAGCTTCTCGTGTCTGACCCTGACAGAACTTTATTCCCACGGTAATGCTGAGACTTTACTTCAATGTATATATATGTGTGTGTGTGTGTGTTGATGTTGTTGAATTGGAGTGCATAGCTTCCATGGATGAGGCATCTTATACTAGAGTTAATTAATTTTATGCAACAAACATGTACACAGTGATCAAATTAAAAGATTCTCAAATTAATTTATGAAAACTATATAATTGAAAAGTTAAAATTGTAATTGAAGATGATAAATATCAACTTCACTCTCAAATATATGTAGTATACTTAAAACAGTCCCAAAAGGATTTGACAATTTGATTAAATGCTACAATCAGAGATTAAAAACCAATAATATAAAATTAGATCATATATTGTTTTCCTTTTACAAGAAGTAGCAATTATAAAATTCCATCTGGAAATGAGGGGCAAGATAAGAAAGTCATCGACAGAGAGGTGTCACTATATAGTTTGTCTCTAAACATGTATATGCTAAGGGATAAAAAGGTATATCATTTATGAAAGATTATAAATTGAAGATAAAAACTTCTATCTAAATTTATTGTGGTTATAGTTGAAATTGTCATGGATCCTTACACTTCATTATTCTGTTAGATGATGTGCTGGCCTAAATTTTAATAATGATCACAATATTTGCAGTATAAGGTACCTGAGGCAGAGAGGGCTCTCAAAGAGGGATATTGCCTTCATGGTTGGTAGATTCTCTCCTCTACTGGGGTATAGTATAGAGGAAGTATTGAAACCCAAACTAGATTTCCTTGTAAACGTCATGGAGAAGCCAATAAAGGAAGTGGTTGAGTATCCAAGGTATTTTAGCTATTCGTTGGAAAAGAAGATAACTCCAAGGTTTCGGGTGTTAAAGGAGAGGAATATAGAATGCAATCTAAAGGATATGTTGGGTAAAAATGATGAGGAGTTTGCTGTTATGTTTATGGGCGACAAAGGAACGTAATATTATTTAAGTTCTTCACCCACTGAAGTGTAAGAAATTTTGTCTCTAGTCACAAAGTTGTGTAAATAATCTCCTACCTTTTTAGGATACTATTTGTAGATTATATTCAGTCAAATGGCCAAGCCAGTTTCAATTTTTGGGTTCTAATAGGGAGGGATCTAGGCTGGATCCATGTGGAACTTATATTGCGTTCGTATTAATGTTCTCCTTTTCACTACATGCCATGATACCATTTGAAAGTTGAGGATGTGAAAGCTTATTAGCTAGCTCGGAGGTCATCGGTGCGCGCCAGCATACAAACAAAGCAATTCAAGCTTTAGGTATGTTTTAATTCATCACCAACACTATTTCCTCGTTGATTTCGTTTCTAGAACATATATATATGATTTGAGATGTCATATTTTCTTTGATGAAGTAAATTTTACAGAATCTATCTAGCCTAGCCCTCAAAAGCTTTATTAGTAGATGGTTAGATTGAGTTACGGCTAGGAAGGCCTTGAAAGGATTGATGATGCCAGTTCTTTTGAACAAATGGGTACAAATATTTGAACCTCTTGCCTTAAGAGGAGGGAGGAGTATATATCAACTACGGTAGCTCAACTTAAATGTTGTGTTATTAATAATTTATTGTTTGTGTTACATGATTCTTTATATATATAATTGCAGCAAGCTTTGGTGAACTACTGGTGAGTGGCGTTGTCAGCTTAACGACACGAGAAGAAACAAATCAAGCTTTCGAGTTTTTAACAAGGTATGTTTTGAGACGGGTCTGATCCATTTAGGTTCATGATTCTCATATTTTTTTCACTTTATACGTATGTCAATTTTGTGTCTAGAAAGTTCATGAGTTCAGGTCGTAGTTCTTATTTTAAATTTTTATAAATATTAAAACTGATGCATTAAACTTGAATAGGTATTCTTTCAATGGATTTTTGTTTGAAAAATTATTATAAACTACGTCATGTTGGATGATGAAAGTCCCACGTCGGCTAATTTAGGGAATGATCATGGATTTATAATCAAAGAATACTCTCTCCATTGGTATGAGGCCTCTCAAGGAAGCCTAAAACAAAGTCTTGAGAGCTTATGCTCAAAGTGGATAATATCATATCATTGTGGAGAGTCGTGTTCATCTAATACATAGTTCTGGAGTTAAATGAATTACAAATTATATGCGTGATAAGAAATAGATAGAATAAAAACTAAACCATACGTATTCGAAACTTTTCATGTATTATTATGGAGTTTTTTTGTACCTCTCATAATTATTTTTTTCTTAATTTTAAATGGCAATTTAAATAACAATTTATTGAAAAGTTGTAATATTAGATCATAGTGTCGTTTTTTACTCTACCTGCTCTAAAAACGACACTGCAAGAATCTGGAAACATTGACCCTAAAACATGGAGCTTTTTGTTTTAATTTTTTAGTGCACTTTCTTTCTCTCTTCATTAATTAAAGCCTTTCACATTGCACCAATTATTGTATCTCGCACTTTATATTTCTTTGCTTCATCATTTTCATTCTCAATATTTGTATTGTCTTTTATCAAATCGAACACTTTGAGAAGATTTTGTTCATATGGTTTAATCTTTATATTTTGAGACTAAATCTTTAAAATTGGTAGCAACTTTGGTTAGAAATCACGAATTTCTACAATGGTATGATATTGTCTACTTTGAGTAGAAGCTCTCAGGATTTTGTTTTGGGCTTCCTCAAAAGGTCTTATACTAATGGAGATGTATTCCTTCACTTATAAACTCATGATCTTCCCTAAAAGGCCTCATACCAATGGAGATGTATTTATTCATTTATAAACCCATAATTTTCTCCAAATTACCAGTTGTGTGGGACTCACTCCTTACAATCCTCGACAACTTCATCTCCTCAAATTTAGTCTCTATAGTTTAAAATTTGTAACAATACGAACATTTGGATTTTTATGTTCATAACCATATTTGATCATTAAATGTTCATAACCATATTTGATCATTAATCGAATCAATATGCATATAAAAGGGAGAGAAAAAAAGAACTCTGGAAACTTAACCCTAAAAAATTTATCCATGTAGTCATTAAGTTTCAAAATGTTACATTTTTAGATTCTCACCCTAAAATTTTAAACTTAATTTTCATTTAGTTTTTAAGTTTTAGAATTCTATAATTAATTTTATTAGCGACTAGCGATAATTAATTAATTTAGTTATAACTAATGTAAAAGAATTAATTAATAGAAAATTTACCAAAATTTCCGACAAGCATAGGTGAAAACTAAAATAAATAATCAAACACTAAAATTTAACTTAATTATATTGATTAAAATATTTTGATCCCAAATAAAAATATAAAAAATATAAGATATTTTAAAATTTAATATTAATCTCGAAATTCTCTCCAGAAAAGACGAAACTACTGTAAATTAAAGAAAGGGAATTAATTAATTGTCCTTCCAAAACTTGTTTTTTGGGGAAAAAAGAATTAAAATGATGATTTCACGAAGAAGGATGGATTTACTATTACTAACCTAGCAGAGAAGTTTACTTTAATGAAATGTATGTAAAAAGTGAAGCAAAAAATCTGTACAAATGGCGGATCCAATGCTTTCTTCCTTATTCAAACATTTAATTCATCGCCATTGGAAGAGGGGAAAATCCTTCCATTCGATCTGTTTCTACTCAACATTCGCTTCAAAGATGCTCCAAGCGACATCAATGGCGGATCAGTCGAAGAACTTGAAGAGGAAGAAGAAGAATGAAACTGACCGTTTTGCTCCTCGTTTCTCTGAATCTCACAATTAGTCCGCTCCTCCGTTACAATCTCTTCTCCGATTTCCCTCTCGCCGCTCAACCGGCCAGATTCCACCGCCTCTGCGACTACTGGCGCTCTACAAACAGGACAATTCGCGTGAGAATTCAACCACATATCGATACATTCAAGGTGAAATCCATGGTTACATATCGGCAACCGTCGTCCGATTTCTCGTTCCTCAAATTCACTGAGGCAAATCACGCACTCCATCACCGTTGCACACTTCTTCTCCTCCGATTCATAAACGAACAGCGGAATCGCAGAGATTACAGACGAGTCAAGACCTTTCGACTGAGCGAAGCCTAAATCGAACGGAATCGATTCGAAACGCGAGAGGCGAGGCGGTCCAAGGACGTAGGAGACAGTGACGGAACTCCGCTGAGCATGGCGGTGGCGAGGCCGAGGGAAGAAACAATTGGCGTAGGCATGGAGGAGAAGGACAAAGAGGACGACGAGGAGAAGAGATATGAGAGCGGCGAGAATGACGTTGCTGTTGTAGGAGAAAATGCTCTGAGTGAAATCAGAGAGTGAAGTGGAATTGAACGCCATTGATGGAGGTGAAAGGAGTAGAAGAGTTGCAGAGGAAGTGTTGCCGTTACCGGCCGAAGAAGAAGAAGCAGACTTTATGGCGTTGCATTTGAAAACGAACATATATATATATATAAATAAAATTAAAATGTTGAAAAATATTTATATATTTTCGGTGAAATAAAATATTGAAAAAATGGGGCCTCCGTTTTTAGGATTAAATTGCGGGTAACGCAACATTTATGTAATGCCAAATTTTCTTAATTTTTAAAAATTAAAAAATATATCTTTATTTAAAACAAAATGATAACAATATTCTTGATCTTTCGTCATCGTTTCAAAATTTATATATCTTTCATCATTCATATCTGATCTCAATTCATTCGTATGCATCTCAGTTCAATATGTTAGATGCAATATCACACCAGTACAGTTAATCGAACTCTACCTCAATTCCCATTCCAAATAGAACACGTGCCCGAATCGAATACACATTTTAAAGTTAAGGAGATAAAAAAAATAAAATAAAAAACTCCAAAAATATAATTTCCCCTCATTTATTTACATTGAAAGGAGAGTAATTTTATAATGTCGACGCATTAAATGAATACATTTATGAATAGAATCCATATTTTACAATTATTAGATGAATAATTTATTCACTATTGCGTGTACGACTCACCTATCTTTCTCTTTATTTACACTAAGAGAATCCCTAAATCTGAGGAATAATTAAATATAAATATAGGGAGAAAGAAGTGGCTGAAATGGAGGGCTCGTGAAGGCGACGGCAACCGGCGGCGGGCGGCGGCAGCGGCGGCGGCGGTGGATATGATTTTTTTTAATTGTTACATTAGTGTTGGAAGGGAAAATCCCAAGACCTTATTGGCTTTAAATTTGGGTTTTTATTTATTCCAATTTTTGTAATTAATTATTATTACTATTATTATTATTATTGGGGTGTATATTTAATAATTGAGTTTGACTCTAATTTCAATTAAGGACCTAAATGCATAGATTTATGTCTTTAGCGTTTTTTTCCCCTTTGTTCTCAGACATTATATTACAATAATTTGTTGGTTGCTACCGAACAATAATACAATAAAAACATTGTCCTACCACAACTATTATTAAGTTTTTTTCGGTGACATCAAAGTTAAATTAATAAAAATATATCTAAATTTTATATTTTATTTTTAAAATATTTATAAACTTATAAAAGTTTTAATAATACTCGTGTCTAGAAAAAACATGTTCGTTTTTTGTTTTAAAAGTTTTATTTAACTTTTAATTAGGTTTCAAAAATAGCTTTCAATTTTAAAAAGTTTGGTTATACTTTTTAATTAAAAAATGAAATAAATAAATAAATAATACTATTACGGTTATTATTATGTTTAAAAAAAATTAAGACCAACACTCTCTAAATTTTATTTTAAAAAATATTCAAAATATTTACATTCTAATCTCCAAAATTTTCAATATTATATTTATTTTTTTAATATATTTAAAATGTGATATTAAAAGGTATTTTTAAACTTTTTAAAAAAGTTTATAGATATTTTTAAAGTTTTTAATTTATTTTTAAAGGTATTAGTTAAACTTTTAAAAACTTAATATTTTTTAAATAGTTTTAAAAGTCAAAAGGGTATTTTTTAGAAAAAGAAAAAAATTAAAAGTTTCATCCAATCTAACGGTGCATTTTTAAATTTTAAGGGTATTTTTGAAACTTAATTTTTTTAAAATCTAATTATAGACGTAGTTCTAATAGCTTTAAGTTTTGGTTTTCTTTCGTGCTTAGAGCATTTTATAATCTCGTCTTGTTCTTGAATTGTATATCTCCTATCTTGAATAATCATGAATTGAGTTTTCTTAATAAATTCAGAGAGAAGAACATGAAGGGAAGTTATTGAGAAAGGTTTCAGTGCAGACGTGTTTTGGAAAAAAATGGTATGTTAATATACATGATTTTACTTTATTAGAGAAATTATTTGGTGAGACTGTCACAATGTGACTGACAGTTTTTCACCGTTAAATATAATGCAAAAATATCTCAAATTTATATCGTGTGGCTAATAAGAAAATGAAAATTATCGAATCTACATTCAACTGTTAATGAGTCAGTCACATCATATCACGACCTATACATGTATAAATATATATTGCAAAATTGAAATATTCAACGAAATTCAAAAAATAAGAAATGAAGTATGAACTCAACTTAGAATGGACTATTTAGTGTCATGCACATTAATAGCTCGAGATTGAGTTTAACATCGTAAATGAAAATAGATAACTAATAACTTTATTATCCATAAACTAAAAGAAAAAATAATAATAAATTGAAGAGAGAATTAAATAATTTTGAAGGTTTAGAAATTAATTAATTATTATTATTATTATTATTATTATTATTGATATTTGCTAATATTGCTTAGTGGACCCTAGGGATTCAATCCAACTCTTAATGGGCCGAGTTCTATTTGCTATTTTCGGCCCAGTTAGATTTAGGGTTTTGTATATAATTACTGCATCGTCTCGAATCGCTGGTTGATTCTCCGGTGTCCAGCCTTCTTCCTTCAGCCGTTCGTTTGCATTTGGAGACGAGCCATTATTCACTGAGAGCAGTCGGACTTTTTTCGCCGCGTCGCCATGAGAGCTAAGGTAATTGATTTTAAGATCTATCAATGGATTCAACTTGTTTTGAGCTTTTACATCTTTTTCGAGATGCTTTATGGGATCTGATGTTTTCTATTTCGTTTTCTGGCAGTGGAAGAAGAAGAGAATGAGGAGGTTGAAGAGAAAGCGCCGAAAGATGAGGCAGAGATCGAAGTAGTGGCCATTGTCTGAGGGATGGTTTCGACCTAGGGTTTTGGTTACTGTTTAGATTTCTTTACGTTATATTTAGTTTTTTATTTTATTGTTTGACCGTTTTGAACTGTTCTTAATTGCTATGTGATCGATACATTTAGTTGTTTTAATCGAGAACTGGATTTCCAGCTTTATAGTTTCTATCAATCGAGTTTTATAAGCTTTCTTGTGTTCTTCCGATGGTTCTGTCAAAGCATCAGTCGTTATTTTCTGCGACAATTGGTTTATTATTTAGCTTTTGGCTGCTGGATTAGGATTCTTTGATATATATTATCTGTGTCTATTCTCTTTAAACATGAGCCGTTGCCAAACTTCTGAAGGTGTTTCAATTTGGAATTATTGGTGAATGAATTATGTAGCTGATAAAAAAGTTTCCAGGACTTCTAGATTCGATTACATTCCTTATAGATTCATTATTGCATTGCAATGCATTTTGATCAAAACTAACCATTCCGGAAGGTAGACGTGAATAAGTTGCAATAAGCATAGGATTGATTGTGTATAGAACTTCCCATTCAATCATTCATATTACATCCCTTTTCTGAATGTGGTCTGCTGCAATGTTGATTCTTACAAGTGCTGTTAACTATAACTTATCACCAAAGAACCCTATTTTCTTTGATTAAGCTGCAGCCCAACTTGCTTCATTCCTTCAAAAGCCACTATAGCTTCCGAATCAAAACCTCCTGCATACTGAAAAGATACCGAGTGTTATTGTTGAGTATCATAAAATGTGATTAGTTAGTATGTCTTTGTAGCTTACCTGGTGCACCCTGTAAGCAAAGCGAACCCCTTGAAGAAAAAGGTTTTCTGTTTGTGGGGTTTCGTTCAATTGTTTCTCTTTTGTTATCCTCCGCATGCATTCCTTCACTAGCCTCAATGAGCTCAGCTTCATCTGCAACCAATTGTGTTTTACAGTTTTTCATTTTTATGTTCTCTAGTCTAGAAGGTGAAACATTGTTCGTGGTTACCTCTACAATGGTATGATATTCTGCACTTTGAGCAGCTTATGATTTTGCTTTTAGTTTTACCCTAAATGTCTAGTACCAATAGATATAGTGGTTCTTACTGATAAACTCATGATCAACCCCCTTATTAACCGAATGTGGGACTTATTAATCGAACGTGGGACTTCTCTCCCAACAATCCTTTTATAGAAAAAAAAAGCATATCTCAAAGTACACCATAGAACTTCCCTTGAGGCCTATGGAGCTCTCGAGCTACCTCCCCTTAATCAAGGTTTGACTCCTATTGAGCCTTCGAACAAAGTATACTTTTTGTTCTACACTTGGTTACTTTTGATTACACTTTTAAGGCTCACAACTTTTTTGTGTTGGACATTTGAGGATTCTATTGACATGACAAAATGAAGGGCATGCCTCGGATACTTGGTTAGAAACCATGAATCTTCATAATGGTACGATATTGTCTACATTGAGCATAAGTTTTCATGATTTTGCTTTTAGTTTATCTAAAAGGTCTCAAGCTTTCATGATTTTGCTTTTAGTACGAGATAGTGTTTTTTAGTTATAAACCCATGACCAATCTCTTAGAGACTCCTCTCCTAACTGGACGGAAGTGGACGGAAGTGGTGTTCATGGTTTTTCGTTTAGAAGCTAGCTTTGATTAAGAGTTAACCTGGGCTGGCAAGCCAGAGTCCAGCATCCATTGGCAAGGGATTTGAAACTTGTTGTACTTCTTACAGTTGAACTCCCTCGTCCTCTCCACATTGCTCACGCTCTGCTCCAACCTGCACAGTTCCAAGCATTTCTCTAGTTCATCAGTCACTTCCCAACTCTGCTTCACCTTATTAGTAACATGAAATACAACAGATTGTACATGCTCGCCTGTCTTGCAAGGCCTGAGCCCTCTTCAACATTGCATTCGTCTCCTCCTTTGGATTCTCTCTAAACGAACACACTTCACCTTCCAAGCTCTTCAGATCCTTGTAGCTGAATGCCGCCTCCCGCAGTGCGTCTGCCTTCCCCTCCGGCCACCGTGGGAAGTGCTTGAGCACCGCCCTCTCGTCCACGAGCGATGCCAGCTCCCCGTCTAGCCACTTCACGAACCTCTCCACCTCCGCTATGTCTCTTGGCGCTGCCGCTTCCACTTCTCTGATCAGCCGGTTCACAAACTCCCCATGTGTCTCCACCTCCGATTTTATCTGTGCCCATGCTTTCATTCACTTGCCTTTTTCGTCTTTCTCATCCAAAACTTTCCATGTTCTTACAATTCTATCTCTAATTTAACGATATAAACTTGCTACGAATTAAAATTGGGTATGGGTATTTTTACTTATTAAATACAAAAATAGTTTTTAATTTGATTAATTCTTAATTCTACTTTAAATTAATTAAAATTGGACAAAATTTTAAAAAGCCTAAATACGTACCGCTGAGAGATAGGCTGATCGGTTTTCGATTTCGCCGATCATGTTTTTGGTGAACGCCACCGCCGGAAATCCTCCGTTTGCGGCCTTATTTTCCTTCTGGGCATCCCTTTTCGTCACTAAACGGTACAGCTCCAACACTTCCGGGACTCGCCGCACTGCCTTAGATCCCCCGAGAAGCTTCGTCGGAAGTGGCGGCGGCGGTGGAGGAGCCGGGGTCGGTGCCGCCGCCGCCATTCTCTGGTTCTCTTTCACAACAGCCCAATTACTCTGTTTCTGTGTTCTGGTAGTCTCCCATTTGTCAGTCGCCGGTGGACTCTGCGGCGTGGAGTCATTTCCGGCGACATCCATGGAATTGTGAAATTTCTTCCAAAGAATGGATTTTCTGTCATTATTATGAGCTTTCAGAGAGTGAATGTGAGATTTGAATCGAGCCAATTCTTGTTTGAGTTCTTGATTTTCTTTCTCGAGAAAAATAGATTTTTGCAGTGAAATTTCCAATTCCCTTTTCAAGGCGTGGATCTCCATGGCCAATTCTTCATCTTCTTCCATTGGCATTCTACTCTGATTTTGTGGTCTTTCTCTGAAATGGGCTGAAGGAGAAGCCAACCAACCAACAATAATTTGCTTCCCCTTTTGGCTTCATTTATATTTCAATCTCTTCTTCTTGCTTAAAATCAAAGAATGGTATATAATATTTGCTTCAATTCCCAAAGTTCCTGTGACAATTAATATATTCCATTGAATGCCCTTTTCTAAATTATTTTTCACTAACTGAACCGTGGGAAAACGAGGGTGTTTATGACATTTCACATTCCTTTTCTTTTGTTTTAATTAGGAATTAACGGTTTAAAAAGAAAAAAAAAGGAACTCTGTAATTGAAGTTTGAATGCATGGGGCATTGTTGTAGGTGACTAGTTCCCTGCCCTCTCTGGCATGAGAATAATAGTGATGCTTGTCTTTAACAACACAACACATGTTAGGTTAGGTGCAACATTTATAACATTTTTAGCTCAACACCACTACTCAACTTCCTACCCTAATCTTTGTACGGTGAGACTTACGAGTTTTTTCAACTGTAACTTTTAAATGTATTCATATGATCTAATAATCTGACCGACTCGAACTATCCAATCCAACCCATAAACATTAGGTTGGGTTAGTTTTTTTTCTTCTTCCGTTTGGATTAGGTTGAATTTTTCGAAAATCGAAAATTTAGTTTAGTTTGAGAGTTGAAATTTTGTTGGTCGAATCAACCTAACCAAATTGAAAATAGGGTTACAATCCAACTCTATTCTTCTTAAAAAAAAGATTAAGAATATTCAACCTTTGTAACCAATGTCAGTGATGTATTATAAAAAACTTGATCAACCCAACCTAGAAACAGGTTAAATTGAGATAATTAACTCAATAGAAATTTCAACCCAACCTGGGTACGGTGCTATTTTTGTCTTAAAAAAGAACAATAAACTTCCTTGTCTTGTTTTGATTACAGTTTCTTTTGGGGACACAAGAGTCAAAAAGAGAATAGACTTTGGTCGGTTGTAGAGGTCATTTCTTAGGTACTTAATGTGGGTATGAAATTGCATTTTTTTCTAGCTTTATTAATTCTTAAGCAAACGAGAAAATTAAGAAAATTAAGAGAACAATGTTTGAATGTCATTGTGTGATTGTTGACAGTGAAATTTTAATGTAAAAGAAAATGATTTCCGATAATTACATATCACCAAAATAATTGAATTCTTCCGCTCATAAACTTATATAATTACACAACGTTATCATATGCAACGATTCGACTTTCTAAGACTCTAGTTTTCAATGGCTGTTAATGGTCTCTCCCGTCCCGACCTTCTACGCTCTTGCCTTTACTTGAATAACATTTTAAGAAATACAAGAACGTTCTACGATCGATATATCTCTGAAGGAAGTAGATGAGTGAACGTTATTATAGATAAGTTGCATTGCTTTATTGTAGGCCACATGGGTACGAACTAGGCCATTTTTTGGGTATTGGTTTGATTTCCCCATCAATTAGGGAAAGCTCATAATCATTAAATGTTGAAGGTTATAAAGTATGAATAATCAAACCTTAAGAAAATTCACAACATTTCTAGGTGGATGGTGGGACATTTAATTCCATTTTCTCCATGCCTCAATAACCTCGATTACAATTAAACAATCATCCATATTCATTTTAGGGATAGACTAAAGGTCCCCCGACACCATGCACTTCTTCTTGTTTACCTAATCCACCCCATCGTTCTTGCTCATACGTGTCCTAGATATGTCCTCACTTAACGCATGTTCTTATACAAGTGGTTCGAGGATATAAAGATCAACCCTGTTTTTGCATTAAGACTGAGTAGCAGGGTATTCATGCATGCATGGAACATTTGAAGACAAATAAGAGACATCACTTATCGTCGAAAATCGATATATTCTAAAAAATCTTTAGATCATCAACTCGAACCAAAGGTTCTGAATACGAGAATTTTAGTTCATCATTAGGAATAGTACAAAAACTCATTCAAAAATTTGACTTATGTTCTAAACCCTTATTTCATTAGAGCTTGATCATTAGCTATAGCTCTGTCTATTGAGGATTTGGAGGGCGACTATTGGCAGAACAAACCCTTGAGCCCCACTCAAGCAGCTCCTTGCTCGTATCATCTTTATGAACAATCACTTCAATAAAACACAATGAATCACTCTTGTCTCCTGTCGCCTTCTTGATCGCCTCAATCAGCTCCTCCTCAGTACGCACCTAAAACACAAAACATGAACAACATAAAATGAATCAAAATGTCTTCTTCACGACAAAAATGTTTCAAAATCAGCTCAGCCAACCTTTGTCGTCCAACATTTCCCTTCACCGTTGTGGATTGCGTCTACGAGGGCCGTGTAGTTCCAATTCTTGATTACGTTGTACGGTCCGTCGTGGATCTCGACTTCAATTGTGTAACCTCCGTTATTGATTAAGAAGATTATAGTTTTTTGCTCGCACCTAATCATAGTTGATACATCCTGTGCTGTTACCTGTGATCGTTTCATTTTAGTTTCTATACTTGTATAGTTTATTGGGAAGATGATGTAGTTAGAAAACCTGAAAGCTTCCATCCCCAATGCATGCAATTACGCGCTTACTCGGCACGGATTGAGCGTATCCCAATGTCGCGCCAACCGACCATCCGATCGAACCATATTGCATTTGAAATTCATACCTAAATAATCCACATTTTACGTTGTCTCTTACACTATACAAGGTTTGAATTAGCCAATTAGGGTTAGTTTACTTACCCACAACCATTTGGGAGCTTGAGTTTCTGGCAGTTGAACCATGAGTCTCCGGTCTCGGCGATCACCGCCGTGTCGGCCGACAGCATCTTTTGAATATGTTGGAACATAATATTGACTCTAAGAGGCTCATTAGGTTTGCATTTTGGCGGCTGGCCGTCAGTGACAAAGATCCGGCGGTAATTCTCGTACGCTGTTGTGTTCTTCTTCACTTTCTTTGCAAGTTCTTTAAGAAAATCCTTCATTAAAACACACCCGAATGTCGGGCCGTTAGTGATCTTGACACGGTCGGGCTCGACAATGATGGCTTTCTCCTTTTTCAAAAGAAGGGAGTAACCGACGGAGCTGTAGTCGTTGAAAATAGGGCCGGCGAAGAGATATGCGTCAGCTGATTCGACGATCTCCCCGCAGAAGGCTGTGCTGACAGCTCCCCAGTAAGTTCCGATGAAGTGAGGGTGGTGCTCCGGCACCAGGCCTTTCGCTGATGGCATTACAGCAAGTGCATAGCCAGAGGCATCGGCGAGCTCTACTAACGCGTCGGTGGCCTTCGCCACTCGGAGCTTCGGTCCACCGACCATCACTGGCTTTACTGCCTTGTTGAGGAAGGCTGCCGTGGCCTCGACCGCGGCTTCGAGCCCCATCTTGTTGCTTAACCTGGGAGATATAGAAAATGGAATGGGGTCTCTCATGAAAGTTGGGTGAGGGATGCCGGGTAAGTTGCAGCTGATACTGATGTAGACAGGCTTGCTTTCAGCTAGGGCCGTAGAAATGGCTTTGTCAATTTGAGCATGAGCTTCTTCCATGTTGTTAATCACAGCCTATAATCATAATCATAATCATAATCATCAATAACAACGATAACAAAATGTCATTATAATTCTAAACATTGTTCTTTTAAGTTTACGATCGAACAAGCCAAATTTGTTAAGGATGCTTAGGAGAGAGTCCAAGGAATGATTGCTCAAACTAAAGCCGCTTACGCCCGGGACAATATCATACCATCAGGACGCCGTGATTCCCAAACGTGGTACGTGATTCCCAAACGTGGTACGTGATTCCCAAACATGGTATTGAAGTCATGTCCTTAACTTAGCTATGTCAATAGAATCCTCAAATGTCGAATAAAGAAGCTGTGAGTCTCGAAGGTACAGTAAAAAATGACTCAAGTGTCTAATAAAAGGTATACTTTGTTCGAGGACTCCAGGAGTCGAGCCTTGATTAAGAGGAGGTTGTTCGAGGGTTCCATAGACCTCAATGGGAGGCTTTATGGTATACTATGTTCAAGTGGAGGATGTTGGGAGGGAGGGTAGTCAAAAGTGACTAAGTGTCGAACAAAAAGTATACTTTGTACCTTTGTTCGAGGGCTCCAAAGAAAGAGCCAAGACTCGATTAAGAGAAGTCTATGGACAATATTATAACATCGTGGAAAGCCGTGATTCCTAACAAAATCTACCTGAAAACATGTCAAGGTCTGAAAGCATCGGAGTTCTTGGCTGAAATCAAACAATCCAATAGTATGATGAAGAATCCTATTAGTTCCAAAATCGTTGGTATTTGGGCCACCAACAATACAAATCACAGGAAGATTCTCACTATAAGCACCAGCAATGGCGTTCAAAACGCTTAGCCCTCCAACGGTGAATGTGACAACACAAGCACCAACACCACGGCTCCTCGCATACCCATCGGCTGCATACCCAGCATTGAGCTCATTGCAACAGCCAATGTTGGTGAGCCCTGGCTCAGCAATGAGATGGTCAAGAAGGGTCAGGTTGAAGTCACCGGGGACGGTGAATACATCGCTGACCCCTATTTGGACCAGGCGGCGTGCAAGGTGGCGCCCCAGTGTGGCATCTGGGGATACTGCGTCGTTGGTGACAGACGTGCCGGAATCAAGATCTCCGGTGGCGGTGGCCATAACTGGTGTTGATATGGGGGAGAGAAAGAAGGATCTATGAGAGGAAAGTGAAGGGGCTTGATATATATAAGGCCATTTTGGAGGGGAATTAGTGGCTATGGTTGCTCCCATAAGACCCTTTCTTTTTTCCATATTTATTGGGAATTGCTTTGGATCAAGTACTTTTTGCATTTTATTATATATTTTTAAAAAAATTTATTTCATTAAAAATGATAACTTTTATTTTTTAATATAAAAGATCGTAATAAATTTAACAATATTTTATAAATAAAAAATATAATATAATGTTCGTGCAACATAGACTTCCACATTAAAAAATATATATATATATATATATGAATGGAGAATATGATCCGTAAGATTATACATTGGTTGGGAAGGATAACAAAATATTCTTTACAAGTGTGTGAAAATGTTTTCCTAATAAACTCATTTTAAAACTTTGAGAGAAAATCCGAAAGGGAAAGTTCAAAGAAGACAATTTCTACTAGCGGTGGGCTTGGGCTGTTACAAATGGGCTAGATATTGAGCGGTATGCCAGCGAGGACGCTAGGCCCTCGAGAGGGTGGATTGTGAGATCTCACATTGATTGAAGAGGAGACGCATTTCAAAGGTGTGAAAACCTCTCCCTAGTAGAGGGTGGATTCTTTACAAAGGTGTGAAAATCTCTCCTTAAGATGCGTTTCGAAACTTTGAGGAGAAGCCCGAAAGGGAAAACCCAAAGAAAACAATTTCCGCTAGTGGTGGGCTAGGGTTATTACAAATGGTATTAGAACTAGACACCGAGCGATGTGCCAACGAGGACACTAGGCCCCCAAGGGGGTGGATTGTGAGATCCCACATTGATTGGAGAGAGGAACGAACCATTCTTATAAGAGTGTAGAAGTCCGATAGGAAAAGCCCAAAGAGGACAATATTTTCTAGCGATGACTGTTACATAATCTCTATACACGACCTCGTTTAACTAACAAAGAGAAATCTCTCCTTATTCCCTCCCCCATTTACGCTAGTGGTGGGCTAGGGTTGTTACAAATGGTATCAGAGCCAAACACCAAGCAATGTACTAACTGAACACTAGGCTCCCAAGGGGGTGAATTGTGAGATCCCACATTGATTAGAGAGAGAACGAAACATCCTTACAAGGGTGTGAAAGCCCAGTAGGAAAAGACCCCAAAGAGGACAATATTTGCTAGCGATGGCTGTTACATAATCTCTATACACGACCTCGTTAACCAACAAAGAGAAATCTCTCCTTATTCCCTCCCTCATTTCCCACCCCGGTTCGATATGTATAATATTTGTTTCTAAAAGTAGAAAAGAAAGCTACATGTTCATATCAAAACATGAAGAACAATGCCTTGAGATGAGCTTCTAAGCTTATGTTTATTGGTTGAAACTATACATAATAAACCATACCAACCTCCAACAGAGAAGTGTGAGGCACATTCAGTAAAGCCTCAGGCTCTCTACAATTCTGGTTCAAAAAAGCATACACAATATCAATACCCAACTTCTTAAGAATGGAGGACGATTTCTTGGCCTTGACCGAGCAATGCCCGAAAATGTACGTGACTCCCGACTCTTTCGCTCTCATTATCAGCATCGCTTCCTCGCTATGTGTCGACTTCTCCCGATCGTCGACCGCAGTATTCATCGCTTTATATTCGTAGGAAGACTGCTCCAATGGTTCATATTCACAAGGTGTCATTGGTTTCCAAAACTGATCTTCTGTTTCTACATATTGCATTAGAGAAAACACCAACCTGTTCTCGAAATCGTAGTTTTCTTGTAACAAATCCCTATAGCCATACCTCACGACGCACCGAAACATGTTGCATTCTTTCGATCCCACCCTTGTGATGAGCAGTCGATGTTCTTCGTCGATATGGGGAACTTGAACGTACTTTATACAAACAAACACGAGCACTTGATGAAATGCAGGCAACGTGGTTACAAAGTGACCAAAAACAGCAGGAACACCCGAGACCAGACTAGTGTATATAAGGCCTATTCCGGGCACACGCACTATGCCAAGGCTAGGCCCGGAAGAAAGTATCCGATTCATCGACACTTTGTTCTCATCGTCGTATTCGTGTTTCTTCATTGTCCCGTAGTACCATGTATACATCGAACACATAAAGAGTATAGACAGCACGACGGGTATCCACCCACCTTTGTGAACTTTGCTGATTGATGCCGAGATGTAAAGTAGTTCAATGGACCCGAAAAACATGAAAAACGCTATGGCGCCAATCAACCTCTGCTTCCAAACGATTAGTATCACGAGTGCCATCAAGCAAGTCGAGACGAACATAACAATGGTGACTGCCAGCCCTACAAACACATCAAAACAATCAAATTTCTGCCATTTGATTGAATGTTTAAGCTCACAGACGCTGCTAAATGCTAAGACTTGTGTACCATATGCATGGCCTAACATGTTCGTGTCTCTCAAGCCAATTGTCACAGCTAAACAAAGGCACATTAGCATCCAATTAACTTCTGGAATATAAATTTGCCCACATATCTGGTTTGAAGTGTGCATAGTTTTCACATGGGGGAAGCAATTCAGAGCACAGCACTGGTTTACGAGCGAAAACGTAGCCGAAATCACGGCCTGACTTCCTACAACAGAAGCAAAAGTGGCCACGACGAACACCGGCCAAAACACCGCTTCTACACCGACAAATAATGTAAATGCTATGGTAAGACAAGGACATATCAATACGTATAAACTCGATACTACGAACTTCCTACCGGGTATCGCTTTGTAGAAGCTTCTCTGAATATCTTCATGATGCTTAGAAAGGAATGCAGCCTCACCCAGATAAGCAAGAATCAATGAGGGATATACAAGAAATGTGAAGGCAATCTGTGGTTTAAATGAAGAGTTTACATTAAGCAAGTGACGGGTTTTGCATATTATATTCGAACAACGCGAATAGAGTTACCTTGATCGAAAGCGTCGAGAAGTGGCCTAAATCAGCAAACATTGCCTCCACACCTATGATAATAGCCCATAAGAGACGATCGAAATCATGAATTTGTATGATTCGAGATGAACAAGTACCTGTTATCGAGAGAACGACTCCGCCTAATGAAATCCAACCTTCAACACCCGTGCTATGAAGGAACTTCAGCATATAAACTGGTGAGAGTGCATGGTATATACGCGGATTCCACTTGATAATATTATACATTCCGATAACACTAATAGAAACGAGCCATGTCGTGATGATTGGAGCAAACATGAAAGCAACTTTGTGTGTTCCACAATGCTGAAGGGAGAACAATCCAACTAAGACGACGCACGAGATTAAAACAACATAATCTGAAAGTGGGAAACACAAATTTCGGGACGTTTTAATTGTTTTGCTATATTTGGAAACGCGACGATAGAGAGAATGAGACTTACTCTCATGGAGTCCAGTGATCTTATGTTTGACTCCCGAGACTGCTGAAAGAACTGAAAGCACCAATAATAAGTGTTAGGATGATCTAAGTGTGACATCCCACGTCAGTTGGAGAGGAGAACGAAGCATTCTTTATAAGGGTGTGGAAACCTTTCCCTAACAGACACGTTTTAAAAACCTAGAGGGTAAACCTGAAAAGAAAATCCCAAAGAGCAGAACATCTCATAGCAATGAGCTTGGGCTGTTACAAATGGTACTAGACACCGGGCAATGTGCCAGCGAGGAGGCTGTTTCCCGAAGGGGGGTTAGACACGAGGCGGTGTGCCAATAAGGACGCTAGACCCCGAAGGGGGGTGGATTTGGTAGGGGTCCCACATCAATTGGAGAAAAGAATGAGTGCCAGCAAGGACGCTGAGCCTTGAAGGAGGGTCATTGGTTGGGGAGGAGAATGAAACACCCGAAACACCCTTTACAAGGGTGTGGAAACCTTTCCCTAGCATACACGTTTAAAAAACTTTGAGGGTAAGCCTGAAAGGGAAAGCCCAAAGAGGACGATATCGGGTAGCGGTGGACTTGGGCCGTTACACTAAGCTACAGAGTTGGTGCAATGCAGGGACCTGACCTGATATTGCAGGAGTGAGCACTCCATCACCAATAGCCATGGAGGTTCCGAAGAGCACGAACACCAAAAAACCTTTTCGAAAAGACGGGTGCAGCTGAAAAAAAGATTTTAGAGCAGCACTTGGTCTTGTCTCCAAGCTTTCCTTCATTTCATATGCAGATAACTTCTCATCAGCAGGCTCTTGATTTGGTAGAATGCATAATCTAGCATGCCTGCAGAGAAGAGAGTACAGAGCAAAGGTACCCCCTGCATCACAAGCAATGGTATGAACTAATCAACTTTGCTTTTCTTCCTATCTATTTATTACACTTGAAGCTATTAAATCGTTTACGATCACAGATTTCCAAGCTCTCGATAGAAAATAAAAGAATTATATCTCCACGATTGTAACAACTCAAGCCCACTGCTAGCAAATATTGTCCTCTTTGAGCTTTTCCTTTCGGGCTTTCCCTCAAGGTTTTTAAAACGCGTCTGCTAGGGAAGATACTCTTTAAGCCCTCTTTAGGGAAGATATTGTCCTCTTTAGGCCCTTTTTAAGGCCCTTTTTAGGTTTTCCCTTTCGGGCTTACCCTCAAGGTTTTTAAAACGTGTGTGCTAGGAAGAGGTTTCTACACTAGCGTCTGCTAGGGAAGATATTGTCCTCTTTAAGCCCTCTTTAGGGAAGATATTGTCCTCTTTAGGCCATTTTTAGGTTTTCCCTTTCGGGCTTACCCTCAAGGTTTTTAAAACGTGTGTGCTAGGAAGAGGTTTCCACACTAGCGTCTGCTAGGGAAGATATTGTCCTCTTTAAGCCCTCTTTAGGGAAGATATTGTCCTCTTTAGGCCCTTTTTAGGTTTTCCCTTTCGGGCTTACCCTCAAGGTTTTTAAAACGTGTGTGCTAGGAAGAGGTTTCCACACCCTTATAAAGGGTGTTTCGTTCTCCTCCCCAACTGACGTGGGATCTTCCCTTTCAGGCTTACCCTCAAGGTTTTTAAAACGCATCTGCTAGGGAGAGGTTTCCACACCCTTATAAGAGATGTTTCGTTCCCCTCCCCAACCAATGTAGGATCTTCCCTTTCGGGCTTACCCTCGAGGTTTTTAAAACGCGTCTGCTAGGGAGAGGTTTCCACACTCTTATAAAGGGTGTTTCGTTCTCCTCCCCAACCAATGTGGGATCACAACAATGGTGTAATATTATCATGTTCGAAGTCTTTAACAATTAGACCGTCCTAACAATGTTTATAATATTGGATGAGTCGAGAAACGTTACCTTCACCGTTATCGTCGGCTGACATGACAATGAAAACATATTTGAAGAGAGCAATGAGTGTAAACGTCCAGAAGATGAAGGATAAAACCCCATAAATCTCTTCATCATTCTCATGTAAACTCAATTTCCCAGAGAATGTGGTTTTATAAACATACAGAGGCGACGTGCTGAGGTCGCCGTAAACAACTCCTAAACTTTGGTAAGCCAGCATAAGCACACTTCTGTAGGACTCATTCTTCACATTCTGATGACAAAAACATATTAACACACATTGCTAGCTACAAACATGATCAACAAACATATTCCAACCTAAAATTTCAAGAACATAAGTTTGATCCTTCCAGAATCAAGCGTCTATGTCGCCATTAACATGTGTCTATAGCAACTCAATGGCAGGAGGGATATCACTCAGGCGATCATAACCAAGAAACAAAGTGGTTTATCATTTAGATCTGATAAAAACACTCAAAACAATCAAGAATCTAAGAGAAAACCCATCAATCCATCAAGATTCTCAAGCATAAGAACTCATCACAAATTTCAGTATAACAGAGATTTTCCAGGAATCAACCATATAGAATGAACTGTATATGTCTAAAAATGAGTATGTATAAGCATTTTACTCAAACCCAAAAGGAAACCCAGTTCCCAAATATACTCATAAACAACACGATCATACAAAAACAAGAACCCATATAGATTTCTTCAAGAAATCATTGGTTTGAGGTATGAAAAGGGCAGAAGAATTAAGAATACCTTTGAAGAAATGCCTTCAGTTTCAACATTTTCCTGTGATGGGTTGTTGTTCATGGCTTCAGAGGAAAAGAGAGAGGCAAAAATGGTGAGCAAGGGACAAAGCTACATGACCCAACCAAGTAAGCATAACCTTTGGCAATGGTAACCAAATAATAATAATAAAAGACTATTTTATTACCTAAAATATCAATTTGGCCTTTTTTTTTTCCTTTCTTTTTGAATTTGGCTTTGTTTTGGGAAATATTTATAAAAGCTTTTTTTAAAAAATAATTATTGGGTTCTTGGTTGTTGGTTTCTTGTTTTGTAATTATTTTTTTTTTTTTTTTTTGAAAATTTGTAGATAACAAAAACAAATAAACCCATAAATGCAAGTTTTGTTTACGGGCTTAATTTTTAAAAAAATTGAATATTGGAACCTTCAATTCTCAAGAAAATTTTGGTATTTAAGCATTGAATTATGGATTGATTTAGATTTTGTGGTAAATGATTGAAAATCGATCGCGAAAATTGGGAATGTTGCCCATTGTCCTTACCACTAATTTCTTATGGAAGAACAGTGGAGAAATCCCTTTGAATGATTGCTGAAACAGCGAAGACGAACCGATAAGCTTTGAAATTCTCTGATTCTGATCAGAAGAAAGCGATTCGAATAAGGACAATTTGAAACGATGAGTACCCATATCAATTCAATCGAAGTCGCCATAGAAGAGGAAGAAGCAGATGTGAGTCTTTTTCTTTCATTACGCTTCCATGGCCGACGGATAAGAAAGGCAACGCCATTTCTTTCACTATCATTGTCCACCGTACAACAAGATTGACTGCAACAAGCTTTCAATCTGATTGGCAAAGCATTTAATCCAATTGGGTCACTCTCAAATCCGTAACAGATCTCTGAAATTTGTGATGCCGATGGTATACCTAACTCATAATCCTTCTCTGTCGTTACTTTCAAATCTGAGTCTGCGATGCAGTTTACTTTGGGAATTGAAGACGTGGTACGGTGGGAGAAATGGAACAATCAAAGATATGGTTGTTAGAAGGTATGACGATTTCTCATAGTTTTTTAAGCTCATTCAATTCGCTGGTTCTGTTTCTGCCCATAAACTGTTTGTGAAAATGCCTGACTGAATAGAATCAAATAGTTTGGCTAAGAGAGTGTTAGAGAGCTGGACATGGCCCATAACCTGTTTGTGAAAATGCCCACTTGAGAAAAAAACATCTCTCAATCGACTAGATTAAGCCTCTGATTCTGTTTCTGCCCATAACCTGTTTGTGAAAATGCCTGACTGACTAGAATCAAATAGTTTGGCAAAGAGAGTGTTAGAGAGCTAGATATGGTGGTTGAGATTGATAATTGAAGTAAAAACATCCCTCAATCGTCTAGATTAAGCCTCTGGTCCTTTAAACATCTTGAGCTCTTAATCCAGACCTGTAGTTCATCTCTTCTTTCATGTTTTTTCAGTTCTTCTGATTTCACTTTCTGTTTAATCTCCTGCCATTGGAATGTTCTGCAACTATCAAATCATATAAATGGCATCCAATTCTCCCTCTCCATAGATTTGCAGTTGCAAGCTGGTGGTGTTGAGAATTGAGAATTGAGAATTGGATTCGCCTCCACCTCATTGGGGGGTGGCTTGGTTTGATCTATTCCAGATTGTGTTGGCTTATTTCTATGTATGTAAATGGTTCTTTGAGATAAGATTGTTCATAACTTTGATTCATTCTCCTAAATAATTGAGATCTCTGAAGCCTTGTTTGGCTTGTTAAGGTCATTATCATCTGGTATGAACTTCTGAAGAATGGTGGAAGCTTCATGTTCTTTCATAAAAATGGAAAATGGATGTGATATATGAAGCTTCAGCAATTATGAGTGAAGCTGAAGAACAGGTATGGAGCTTCCTTCAGCAGCCATTCACTTTCTTTTACTTAGTACTCCAAATATTAAAAGATCATATAGATAAGGGGAAATTTTAGTCACTATATTCTTATCCTTACTGATTTATTTGCATTATTATTTTCCATATTCTTTATCTTCATATCATATTATTTGGGGCTTTGATGTGACATTTTATTATTTTCATTTCGTCCTATCATTTTAATAGCCGCTCAATTATTGTGTATGGTTATAACAATTTTTTTTTTTTTCAAAAACAACATCATAGTTTAGTCCTATTCTATTTTTGGTATTTACCCTTTTGCATGAAAAAATTATTTTGGTCGTTTCATTGAAACATAATATCTATTTGTCTAGTATGTGTAATAGCTCAAACTCACCGCTAGTAGATATTTGTCCATTTTGGCCCATTACGTATCGTCGTTAGCCTCACAGTTTTAATACGCGTCTACTAGGTAGAAGTTTTCACACCCTTTAAGGAATGTTTTGTCCCTCTCTCCAACCGATGTGAGATCATACAATTCACCTCCCTTAGGCACTTAGCATCCTTGCTGGCACACCGCATGGTGTCTGGCTATGATACCATTTGTAATAGTCTAAGTCTATCGCTAGCATATATTGTCCGTTTTGGCCTACGTGTCATCGTCAGCCTTGTAGCTTTAAAATGTGTCTACTAGAGAGAGGTTTTCATACCCGTAAGGAATGTTTTCTTCCTCTCTCCCACCTATGTGAGATCTTAAAATACATTTACCTAATGAATATGATAATTGTAGATAATAGTTGCTTGTAGTATGGTTAGGCGTTAGAAATGGTAATGAACTTGAGTTATTACTAAGTGAAGAATGGAAAAGTATTAAAAATTTGATGGTAAGGCAGATTAAAATAAGATGAGTTTAGATAGTTTGATTATTAGGTGTAAATGAGAGTGCATTTATTATGGATGGGTCAATTGAAAAAGTAGTTGATGGGTAGTTCTTCCATGAATTTCACATTATTAGGGTTCATATGGCTCACCTAATTTAATTGAATTTATTTAAATTTTATTCTTAAGTTTGGATTTATTTATTTTTTAATAGTTTACTTATATTTATCTATTTTTAGTTTTTAATAATCATTAATTGATTATAAATTTTAATATACTATAATATAATATCTTTACTTTTTTTTCTACCATGAATAAGATTAGATGTATATTATATATCTATACACGGTCTAGGTAGAGTTAGATACTAGTATTTCTCTATACACGATTTGAGTAAGGTTGTGCTTATGCATAGTATTTCTCTATACACAGTCTGTATAAGGTTGTGCTTGTGCATAGTATTTGTATTTCTCTATACACAGTCTGTGTAAGGTTGTGCTTGTGCATAATATCTACACACATGCACGTGAAACCAATAATGGGCTGGAAACTTGAAGGATTGGGCTGGACTGAGGCTAAAGATCTGGTCTTGTTTCAGGTGGGTGGTTGTTGGATGCGCACTCGTGGGCTCGAGGCTGCTAGAGTTCGTGGGCTGGGTCGAGGTTGGTCGGCTAATGGGTTGTGGTGTTTGCTGAAGGTTGGGTCTAGAGTTTGAAGACCTGATCCAACCCGTCCTCTGCAACTTCTTCCTTACCCGAGTTTTTGCAGACGATCTTCCACATACAAAGACATGTTTCCACATCACATATATGCCAGAACTTTCATTTATAGAAATAAAATTAGAGAAATACAGACTAAATAAACAAAGAGCAGACAATAAACCTAACTCCAAACCATAAAAGAGATGTTTAGTTTCAAAATGGATACATAATTACTTCAAAATAACTAATATAGGGAAGGGATCAACTACAATGGGAAGTGAGCAAAAACAGAAACAGAAACAGAAACACACTGCACAACAAAAACACCTAAAAACCTTCAAATAAAAATTCCACAAGACAAAGACAGAGACAGAAACAAGGACAATCATAATTTTTTCATCATCCCCAAAGGTAAAAATCTCCGGGACTGAGCAAATCATCAAACAAAAATAAATGTGTACATGTCTGTTCCTTGCAGCATGCATCTTCACCTCAGGCCCTGCGCTGCTGCACACAAACTCCATAGTGTATCACCCATCACCCCTCAATCAAACAATTCCCAAACTTTCAAGTTTCACAAACCACAAGACGCCACACAACCCCACCCCACCCCAACTTTTGACGACGACAGTGACTAGAAAACTCTCATTTTTTAAGGAAGAAAGAAAAATGGAAAGGGACTCCCAACCAAAAGTTCAATGTAGACGACCTCTCCCACCCCAGAGGAAATCCAATCCAATAACTGACTATTATGCTTAAATGTACCAAGGATGGAAGAGAGGTCAACCTCATCAAAATCTCAAATATATTCAAGAGTGCCAAATCAGGCTACTCATCATTCTTCTTCTCTGCATCTGCTTTCTTTTCTGCCTCACCCTTGGGTTCATCCTCTTCCTTGGTTTTGGCAGGTGTGTCTCCAGCTTTATCTTCTTCACCTTTCTTTTCTTCAACACTCAATTTCTCAAGTAATCCAGCTGCTGCTGATGCATCTTTATTTTCATCTTTCTTCTGTTGGGACTCGGCAATTTCTTGGAATGTTTCCTTGAATGTTTTGCAGTCTGAAGCAAAGAGAATACTTGTTAGCAGGAAAAAAATAAATAAATAAACAAACTAGCATAATTAATAAATATTTATCTTACGATTGAACAAAAATGAAAAGATGGAACATTCACAAAACAATGCTCTAGAAATCTTGTTCAATCAAGTATACACACAAGTGCAGGAATTTTTACATTTTTAATACCTAGACACACTCCAAAGATGCACCGAACAGTTCGGGAGGAATAAAGGAAATAACGCAAATCAAGAAATGATAAAAATGACTGCCTAAACCAGAAAAAGGGGGAAAAAGAGTAATCGACCCTAGAAGTTGAGAAAAGAGGTAAAAATTAGTTTTAAAAAAAAAAAAGGAAAGATAAAATACGTTTAAGGACCAAGCAAGCAATACATAGTGTCCAAGCGTTTAAATCTAAAAATGCAATTGAGAATCTCTACAATCTCAGGCGCCAAGCAAACATGCCTGTCTCCACACTTTATAAGTAGAATGTTTAATAATCTGAAATAGAGTAAGAAAATAATTATAAAACTTAAGAAACTAAAACTAAAAGAATTTATCAGCAGAAACAAATTCTTGTTGATTAATAATATAGTGATTCCGAAAAACACAAATAAATGAAAGGTTACCTTAAGACATTTAACTTGAAAAGAGAAACGAAAGGAGTTAAACATTTAACTTAAGACATATAATGAAAGGAGTTCTAACACACCATCCCCGAAAAGAGAAACAAAAAAGAAGAAACCTTGATTATCATTTATCCAAGGCTCATACTTATTGAGGAAATGAAAAATAACCTAATTCTAAGGTAAATTTGACAGACAGACGTACGTTGAAGAAACATCAACCAAAGATTATAACGAATGGAAATGGATCATTCTTGAAACAGGAGAGAAACGATTTAGAATTATAAATCCAAGGCAGTCGAATTAGATGTAAGAAAACTTGATTTATAATGTAATGAGCTTCTTTACTTGGTCTAAAACAGTTAAAAACAATAGAATTATGAACATCCAAATGAAATCAGATTTATAAGTACGTCTCATGCAAAGTAGTCGATCGCATCTAAATTTTATCTTTATATGCCCTAAAATAAATTTTCAGTTCTTCCGCCCCTTTTCCCACTTCTCCCCTACTTTGCCACCGCCAAAATTTTCTCTATTCGCCATTAAAACCACTCTCCTTTTCCCCCATTTTTTAAAATAATCTTATTAGGGGAATCTCATTCAACACCTCTTTTTGATGCAGTAAAAAAAAGTAAGTCCTACTGACAAAATTATCCAACGAAAATGACCGAATCTTACTACAGATTCTATTCATAAATTCTATGAAGCCATTTGGGTGCACAAAACGAACGACTCTATCGGTGAATAGACTGGAGCTAGTACTTGATCTAATTTAGGAGATATTTACGGAGAAGGAAATGACCACAATTTCTGGGCTCAAAGAACATCTATGGTCTTTTGATATTACCAACGCTATCATAGATCAAAAGGATCAAAAAAACTCATCAGCCAAGTTCACCATACAGCCGAATTCCAGGGAAAAAGAATAACGAAGTTGTACTCACTCTCAATAGATGGGAATCTAATACAGAAAAGCTCATTTTTCAATTCGCCATCAGCAAAGTCAGCGGCATGCCACACGCATGATTTCTCATTTCCAGCGTGTTCTTGAACCGTCATTGACGAAATCACTACAAAAGCACAACAATCAAACAATAAACAAAAGAACTCAAGGGAACTCAATTGTACGCAAATAATGAGTGAATAATCAAGAACAAACCAAGATGATTGGCGCAGATCTTAAGCGTCTTAGACTGTCTCATAACAAGGCGAACCTTGCCAGTATTCTTATGTTTCAAAAACTTGACAGTACCAGCACCTCTCTCCTTCCATTGGTTTCCATCCTTATCGAATCGGTACAGTTTCGCCTTCCTAAAATAATCATGAATAATCCGCACAAAAACAAATCACACTCATGACTCAAAGCCTAGATTGAGAAAAACAAGATGCAGAGAAAGAAGTACAGAGAAAATCGTACAGATCGAGAATGGCGTCCTCATCTTCTTCACCGGTGGTGACGGCAACCTCCTCCAACTTGACGATCGGGGCAACTTGAGCTCCAGTGTCTTCATCATCTCCAGCAGGAGCATCCTCGTCCTCTCGGCGTTCGGGATCTGTGCTCGCCATAAATGAAGGTTTGATGATGCAGAAATGGATCGGAATTTGGAGGAAAGCAATGGAAGAGTAGGAGTGGAAATTAGGGTTTTTATATCGAGAAATAAAATGAGCGAGAATGAGAAGGAAGAACCCTGCCCCTTCACAATTATCTTTCTAAATAAAATAAAATATCACAAAAACGTAATTAAAAAGTATAATTTCAATTATTAATTCTTTAATAATAATTTCAACTATTTACAATATAATTTCAATGTTGAATTATTAGTAATAAATGCTCAAACTATAAAAAAAATAAAGCTTTATATTGGACGCATTTTTACTTTTTTAAATTAAAATATATATTTTTTGTTATATTTCTATGAAATAAAATCTAAAATAATAGTTTTTTAATTTTTTTTTTTGCTTATGTATACAAAAGTACATATTTTAATATTAAATATTATACAAATAATCAAATTTATAGGTGGGATAGAAAAATAAAAGATATATTATATATGTAACTAAATTATTTTAAGAGAGAATTAAGCAAACAAATAAGGATTTGATCGAGTTTGCTCTTCGGAGCTAAACACCATGTTTCCTAAAAATATGAGTATGAAGCTATGTCTCGATGCTAACCTCTTCATCAAAGATACACATACGCATATGTTTTATGACAGTTGAACTGTGGTCGTGACATTATTTTTTTAAAGAAAGAAAAGAACTTAATTAGTAATAATGCAAATGTAAGTCGGAAGCCCAAAACTTGATATCATTAGATAATTAAGCAAGGGCGTCATAGCTCAACAAAACCTCTTCCATCTTTTTCTTAGAGTATTGTGTATCTTCTTCTTCTAGTATCTCACACAGGGGAAACAGCCTCCTAATTACTCTTTCTCTGCAGCTTTATCTTCAGCTTTGTCTTCGGCTTTATCTTCACCTTCCTTCTTTTTGTCTTCAACCTTTAATTTTTCAAGTTGATCAGCTGCTGCAGATGCATCTTCATTCTCCTCTTTCTTGGTTTGGGACTCTGCAACTTCTTGGAATGTCTCCATGAAGGTTTTGCAGTCTGATAATACCCACACAACAATTCAATAAACTATCTTAATGAAGTACTAAACGGATGAGATAAACATTCTATAAAACCTCTATCTATGCTGGATGGATGGATCACAAGCATGATGGTCATGCAAGTCCAGGAATTTCTACTGTTTTGTGATTTCAAACCTACCCAAAAAACATGCTACACAGTTTGGGAGGATTGGATAAAATTAATAATGTCTAGAGATGGCAAACATAAGTTCCAAAACCAGAAAATTGAATATCTTTTTACACTAAATTACCCCACAAAAGAGAAATTAAAAAGGAATGAAAAAGTAATAAAATGAGCTAAAGAACTGTGAGATAGAAAAGTAAACATTACACTAATAATGTGCAGCATGTCAAAGCACTAAGAATTGCCAAGTGTTTCATTAAGTGATGTTGTAAATCAAAGCTGACAACATGCTTATCCCCATGCTTCACGTCAAATATGAGCCACAAACTAAAATCCAATATCCTTTGTTGTTTCATTGGATGAAGCCATGGCAGAGAAGCTGCTTAAATTAGTTCAATGGACTTCATTGCTCACCATCCAAGGACAAGAACAGAGAAGAAAAGAAACGAAAGAAACCTTGATTTTTATCCAGGGTTTCCTATCTTATAGAGTTAGGATGCCTAATTCCTTGATAAATTTGAACTGATGTTCATTCAAAACACAATGGAAAGCTTATGATGAAGAGTAACTGAGTAATAATATAAACCAGTCATACAAATTAACGCGAGCAACCCAGTAACATTAATTTATCTTAAGTTTATCTAAACAAAATTCTAACCATCTTAGCTACCATACCACTGCATGTAAGGAAGACCCC